CCTGAGCCGTACGGGAGGGCGAGTGTGTGATGCGAAGAACGGCTCCGTTCTTGATCTCATTGCGGTTCCGTTCGGTGATGTATGCGTTGGTCTGATCGTTGAATTGGAGGGCGTAGTGGTCGCCGTCGGTCAGCGCCCATCCGGTGCACAGGTCTTGGATTATGGCCGACAGCGGCCGGTTCTGGTCGAACTCCAACAGTTGCGGCATCTGTTCCCACGAAGAAGACAACCATAAGATATAAAATATAGATAATAGCCGACAAAATAAGACAATCGGTGGACACATACATAGTTTCCGGCAAAAGACGGATCCGTTTCGACGGCGATCTTAACGATATGTCCATCTCGTGGTGCGGGCATTGTGTCCACCAATTGGTTACCACTTTATGGCAGTTAAGAGTTGGCTATCAAATGGGAAAACAGGGAACTGATCCCAAACGCGAAGACGTGACAAAACACACAAACACTTGAAAAATGATAACAAAATCAATGATTGGATGACTGGTTGAGAGGGGGTGCGAGGGGTGAGCGCCCGACCGACTCCTGTGATGGCCAATGGCTGGTCAGTCGACGGGTGGAAGCGTTGGATGCGATGATAATCACCGAAACAAATGGCAATCACTTTCTCGACAACAAAACAGATGAAAATGATTTTTGTTATGAAAACAAAGTTGTATTGAATTGTATTGAATGAATGAAAGCATAGGAAACGCCTTCACTATAGACTCCAATGCAATGCAAATATTGTTGGCTTTGGTTTTGAGAGCACCGGCACTGCCTGTGAGAGCACTGGTAGGCGCTCTGCGTTAAGCCCTTTAATCGCTGTATTAGTTGTCAATTAAATTAAATGATTAGCTAAATGTCAATATGTTTAGGCAATCATATCAGTGGACAGCGATTATCATTGGGATTAAATCACAGTCTCATTGACTGATTTGCTGCCAAACTGTGATTTGCAGACAATTTGCGGTAAATTTAACCATAAAGTTGTCTACAAAACAAATTTCTACCCAAAAACTGGTTTAAAAAGCGAAACCAGAAATTCAAAACACTATTAAATGAATAAAACAAACTTTCTTTTAATTTATTTAATTAAATGTTGTTTTAATTCAAAAAATTTATTCAAAACAATGTGTGGATTATATTCTCGACGGATATAACATTACGCGAACTCTGCGACCGATGGCCAGCGCCGGCAGATTTCGGGCAAACTTGGCTCTGACGGCGCCGGAGTTGCCGTGACTTCGGGTCACTTTACCCCAAATGACCCGCAATTTGCTGGTCTTGCCGTCGCGGCGCGGGATTCGGCTCTTACTGTAAAACACAATACAAATTAGTGGTCATTGGAAGCGATCACTCTATGGAATGTGGACACAAACCTCTTGCCTTTGTAGACATAAGCGACTCGTTTACCCAAATAGAAGTCGGTCTCCGACTGTCTGTTGACGCCTTCGAGCCGAAGAAGTGCTGTGTTTTCGCGTTGATTACGAAGCGAACGCTTATAACCGGTGAAGATTGCCTTCACGTACAGTCTGTGGCAAAGAAGATAATCAATGGTAAACAAACGGATCCCAAAACACACGTGTGTTGGCATTGGTGGACACATACCTGCCAGGAGTGGCTGTATTGAACTTTCCTCTTCGGCTGGACTTCTTAACCTTCTTCACGGGTTCTGCGGCGACGGGTGCGGCCGCGGGCGCCGACTTTGTCTTCTTTTTGGGCTCTTTGTCTGCCATCGGAAACACTGGCGAAGAGTTTAGTCTCAAATGCAATGTGTCTTCACTGATGTCTCGCACAGGAAAGGGATGTGTGTTTTGCACAACCTGTCCATCAATTACGGCCACTAATTGTCTTTTTTGTTATTTGTTTGCCATTTGGCACATGTTTTCTATGAGTCTATTGTTTTAACTTTGTTTTAATTATTTTATGTTTTTATATGATTACTATTAATCGCTTTTAATTATAGTTTTAATTGTAAATTAATTGTATATTTTTATCTATTTATTGTATAGACTTGAGGGCCCTTTTCATACACACAAACTCTATTGGGATTAACGCAAAGTTACTTATCATAAAAGGGCCCAAAGATTTCCACACAAATAACGTCTATATTTACTCGCGTTTTGACAGACAATCGGTGGACGAAATTGAGTGACAAAATAGACGGCAAATAACATCTCAAGACATTACCGAAGAGAGCGACCGAATCGACAGCTGACCGGCGAAGATCACCAGCGATGGAACAGCTGTTGACATCGAAGACATCGTTGATAAAGTCGCTGCTATTGAAGGGATGGCGGGAGCGGTGGTCGGATGTCTTGTGGGGCATAAACATCAAGCGAGTGCTGCCGAGGGGTGTGTCGGGCGATGTCTACGATCTCGCCGACTGTATCTTAGAGCAGGCGCTGATCGCCCCGACACCCAACCACCTCTTCATGTCGTACCTCAACCACTGTATCAGCTCTCAGATGGTGTCCTACGGGTCGGTGTTGTCATCGGTGGCCAAATACCAGGACTGGTCTAAACCCCAATGCGTTCACTATCTCATTGAGTTTGTCATCAAATACAAGGACCGCATCTCATGTCACGGCAACGAAGAGGAGTGCATCGGTCTCTGCAAAGCCGTTGTGTCCATTCTGTTGTGGCTTCAGTTGGCGCTCAACCAGTCGTTGGCCAAACTTCAAGAGTCCAAACAACAGCCAAACGCCGCACAACAGCAGACAAACATGCAATCGTTGCACACGTCGGACACGACTCAGTTCGTGGCCATCATCGAGAGGTGCGCCGAGTTCTTGACGTTTATGTCTTCGTCGCCATTCCTCAAAGCCTTGCTATACGTCGGCAAACTGGAGGACAGCCACACATTCGCGCAGTTCCTTCAGATACAGGCCGACAACGACACCAAACTCTCGATGGCCTACAATCTGCTCTCCAATCGGGAGGTAATCGTCGGCACAATCATTGCGTTTGAAATGAGTTCTCTATTAAACTATTTGTTTGTCTCTTTCAGCCGATCGACGCTATAATGAGTTTCAAACAGCGGGTCGAGTGGTTTGAGAGCAGCCCCGCGATAGTGGCCTCCAAACTGTTGACCACTTCATCCGACTTCCGGTCATCGAAGCCCACATCCTATGCCTCTCTCAACACAATCATAGCCTTCGATGCGGTTCTAAACCCGGCGTCGGATATACAGGTCTGCGTCTCACAGGTGCTGATGATTGCAAAGTTTAACGACATCTCGGCGTCAGACCTGTACTGCGAGATCATCCGCTCGTGTCTCGTAGGTCTGGTGGACGCCAGCGGTTCCCTCGAAGATCCCAAACACAACTCTTATCTCAACTCTTGGGCCGCTTTTCTATTCCTCAAAGTTCCGCAACTGTTCGCGAAATTGAATTCATTAAATGCGTTGAAATCGCAAAACAATTACAACAACAATAATAACGGCGACTCTTCCGCCGCCCCAGCGATCAGTGATCTGGAGTTGGGTTTAGAGAAACTGTTGTCATATTCACCACTACTGGATCTGACGGACAGTAAATCCAACTGCGATTGCCTTCAGTGTCTGCTCAACGAGTTGTCTAAAGCGGAACTGATTACCGGCGCCAAAGTGGAGAAGATAATGGCTAAGCGCAAGAGCGAGAACCAGTCGTATCGCAATCTCCCGCGTACTGACCAGCAGTCGTCCACACAGACGGGTCCGCTGTTGATACTGCGCGCGGAGCCAACGGTGACGAGTATACTGAAGACACTGGACTCGGACTACAGCAAGAATCAAGAGGCGCTGTTCGGCGTGTTGTGTCACATGCAGAAGAGCTTTGAGCTGATCCTATGCGCCGCCGCCGCCACCGGAAAACTCTTAAGCTTTACGACAAAACTCATTGAATTCAATGAGTTTAATAAACAGGCCATCGGAGAGGGCGGCAAAGCGTCGCAAACCCGAGCGCTGCTGTTTGATATCACTTTCCTCATACTGTGCACAATAGCCCAACACTACGGCACAGACATCATCACAATGAACGCCGAGACAAAGGACTCGTTCTTCGCCACGTGGTGTGCGAACAATCTGACCGAAGGCGGCACCAAATACCGCTGTCCCGACTCACTGCTCGCCCACTGCGACGCCAACAAAGTGGATGTCCTCTTGAATCAGTTCACGTCCACTGACGGCGAGTTCCGCACATCGCTCGTGAAGTGGCACGAGGTGTGTGTGAACGCCCCGCAGGCCATCAAAGAGATACTGCTTGCCTGGGAGTACGACTCCATCAGCACAGACAGCGTTAAAGTCATTTTGGATAACGTCAAGAGTAAGATGTGTTCACTACCGGTGGTGATCGGCGCCTGGCTTTGCTCTTATATCAATATTCTGCACCAGAAGGAGCGCCTGAAGCCCATGAATATGTTGCAACAGTTCACCTCTCCGCTGACTAATGAGGCCAACACTAGTTTTGGTGGCGGCGGTGCCGGTGGTAACACTCCCAGCGATGCCGATAGGGGACAGCCGGCGCCCACAGGCGGTGCGGCGGCCGCCGCTGCCGATCAGCCCAATACTTATTACAAGGAGAGGTCGACTCTAATGGCGAATATCATTAAGAAAATGTTTTACGATTTGCATCCACGACAGCAAAGCAAGAATAAGACAACGATATCGACATTTTCCAGCGGTTTGACGGTTAAGACACCGCTCTCGGAGCTAATGGAGTCGAGTTTCGCCGCAGCGCACGAACACTCGTGGCTCGACCTCAAGACTATCTACAATATGGACACATTGTTATGCATCGGTGGCCCGCAATGGTTCACCGATACACTGATCCGACAGGTGCTCAAGTTTGAACACTCGGAGGACCTGAACCGTGCCATTGATCTGGTGTTCGGTCTGTTCCATATGGACATTGAACAGTGCGCTCTGGCGCTTGTGTCCAACATTTTGCCCAATTATCTGCTCAATGAGAGTAAACAGGAGTTCCTGTCGGAGCCGAAAGCGTCGGCACTCATACGGCTAACAGTGATGACGATTTACGTGGCGCTCAACGAAGTGGACAGCGGCCGCAAATCGCGTCAACCCAAACGCATGGGCCGTAAGCGCCACTACTGTCAAGAGATGACCGCCGATTGCGAACCAATGGACACCGACTTCAAGATGTCGGGACCGAATCGAGCGGCGAAGTCGATGCGCTCCGATGTGTTGGATTCGGATCTGTTGGACAACACGCCCGTCTCGTTCGACTCCGGCAGTGGCAGCGGTGGCAGTGATGACGACCACAGGGCGGCCGCGCGTCAGTATCTCCTACAAGAGCCCATCTATAAGGCTATCGTAGAACTGCTTCGACTGTTGACACTTATCGCCGCCGACTCGACAATAAGTCAGCGAACATTAGTGCCGATCCTATTCTTGGAGCAACTGATCCTATGTGTCAAAGAGGACTCGCATCGTATACTACAACTCATGCCAATGAATCTGATCGCGTGTCTCATCAAAACCATACCGGAAGCGCTATCTATGGAGTTCTTGTTGGCCGTCAGCGACGTGCAGACCGTGCGCTCGCGTAAGATAACGGCCCGAATGCTGTGCCAATTGGCCAAAGCCAAGGCACAGATCACCCAATTTTGAGGGCCACACCATTCATACAGACAAACGTCACGACATTTTTTTTATATATAAAAACAAATTATTTATTTTTTTCATTTTTTAAGACGAAAAATAATCAATTTTTTTGACATAATTATAATTACTATCGGATAAAGTATTTGAAAAGTAAATTGAATTATTAAACAAAAACAAACGTATGATATAAAGAGCAAATGATGTGTATTTATGGTGAGCCTATGGTGTGAGTGAATAGTGTATGAAATATAATGAATTTGAATTATTAAATGATAACATAATTACATAATTATAACCTGTATTTAGATTAAGTTTTTTTTCGTATATTTATATATATTTTTGGTTTTTTGTGGAGACTTTTCGTTACAAAACACTTATGAATCGAAACATTATTATTAATTAAAATGTATTATTATTTACTCTCTTCTATATTGCAACCAATTTTTTAATTAAAAGTAATAATAACTTAAATTTATTTGAATAAAAACATTAATCTCTAATTCAAATATCAATTCATAATAACTACTTTACGCTTGCGATCAGTATTTATCGAAACGCATAGATTTGGCCGCGACTTCAGACCTCCACTCACCGCCGACGAGACCACCGCTCTG